GGTGGGGGGGGGGGCAGGGAGGAGGGTGCAGGCTTGTCTCCTCTTCATTCCATTTAAACTAATTCTCGACTTAAGAGTGCTCTGCCAAGTGCCAGGTGTTGGGAGGAATAAGAGAATCAGTGAGGCCAGCCCGTGCCTCCTTACCAAGCCCACATTCATTTTAGCCAACATCCATCAGGCGCACAGTCCACTAAGAAACAGGCAGTTAGGGCGCCTGAGTGGCTCATGTTGCTTAGGTGTCCGACTTGATCCCAGCTCGGGTCTTGATTTCAGGGGTGTGAGTTCAAGCCCCATGTTGAGCTCCACGCTGGGCAGGGAACCTACTTAAAAAAAAAGAAACAGGCAGAGTGTAGACACGGTGAAATAGGGGTGTTCAGTCAGAAGTGAAAGAGCACAAAAGGTGGGTGAGTCGTTCTGACCATGGGTGCTCAAGAACTCTTAGGGGCAGGATGGCATTTGAGTGGGGCCTTCAAGGCTCATGAGCAGAGATCAGGAGGGGAGGAAATTCAGGCTTAGGAAAAGACAGGCACTGAAGCTCAGGTGAGTGACAGTGGGACTGTCCTGAGAAAGTCTGGTAGTAGGAAGGGGTTAAGGCTGGGCACAAACCAGAGGGGGCCCTGGGAAAGATATTTATTCTTTGGGCAGTGGGGAGCCACTAAGTGTTGCTGAGGGAGGGCAAGGGGCACCATCTGACCTATTTTAGGAAGGCAGCTCTGACAGCCTGAGAAGGACATGTTGGAGGGGAAAGACTGGCCCTAACAGGAATGGGAGGGAGGAGACCAATCAGTTCAGAGGTAGGCTTGGTTCAAAACAGGAGCGACTGAAGGGGGGTGAGGAAGAGGGAAGGACCAGGACTCTGCTGGAAGAAGAGATGAGACGAGGGGCAAGGGTGGCAAGTTTGTGGGGGAAGGGCTTGGGCTGAACCCGCTGCCGAGTCCTGGCTGGGGCACCCCTGGATCTCCAGGAATGCCGCTTCTCCCCCGGCGCCAGGCAGGTGAGTCATGCCATTTCTGGAGGGCTGCCGCTGGACACAGAGACCTTCAGCAAGGGGACACGGAGCAGCCTTCGTCCATTCATTCACCCAACAAATATAGCAGCAGGCTGTCAGGACACTGGGCACCCACAGAGCCCGCCTTCCCACCAAGTGCCTCCTACGTGCCAGGCACCATGCTGAGCACTGTCCAGGCTCTCTTCCATTTGATCTGTAAAACCATCTATGAAGTAAGGTAGGAGTTTGTTCTGTTGTATTTCACCAACCAGCATCCAATTCAATAAACATTTACTGAGCACTTACTGTATGTCAGCCCACAAAGACATCTGAAGCAAGGGACTGTAGAGTCGGGGTAAGGCAAGGGTGCGCATGGGAGTCCGTTGTTGTTCCCGCCAGGCCCCAGCCCAGCAAGGTCCTCAAAGGGGAGCCTCTGTGCAGTCTGCACCCCTTTCTTGGCGTGGGAGGAGAAGGAGAGCCCGGGAGGCTGCGGCTGGGGCTCTGTTGTGGGAAGCATATCGGGTCAGGTCATCACTGAGGACTTCGGGGTGGACAGAGTTGCTGAGCCCACCTGTCATCATCCACTTGCTTATTCATTCATTTATCCTCCAAACATTCACCGAGTACCTGCTATATGCTAGGCCCTGTCACAGGGACTAGGGTTACCAAGATGATTCAGACCCAAGCCCACCCTCTTGACGGTGGGACCCGGCCAGACCCCACCAGTAGTAGCCGCAGCCCGAGGTCATCCCTCTTTCCTGGAAGAAGATGCAGTGTTTCAGGGGAGGCCGGCGCCGGGACACCTCAAACTATGTAAAGCCAACGCGGAAAGGAGAAGCCAGGGGGCACCAGGACCTCCCCAATGAAGAGCTGGGAAATCAGCGCCCAAAACCGCTCTTGAGGAGTACAATACCGGAGCTCAGTGGCAAATGCAAAAGGCAGCTGAGAGCTCTGTGAGGGTGGCCATTCCTCCCCATCTGGACTCAGCATCCTCTAACCTGGGCGAATGTTCCCGGCACACAGGCCTTCAGAGATAGCGGTACAGCACTTCACAAAAAGTGGTTTCCTTGAAAACAGGAGGAGGCCATGAGGAAGTGGTCCAGGCAAGTCAAAGATACAAATGGTGAGGAGACTTGGCAGGAGTTTCACCCCTATAATTACAATGAGAATAAGGTTAATGCTAAGAGTCCCTTTAAAGCGAAAGCTAGTGAAAAGTGAAGGTGTAACTCCCATCCCTCAGACTCCCTGAGAACAGCAGGTTTCCAGCTCCAGGATATCATGAAGTGGTAAAATCTGAGGAAAAAAAAAAAAAGTTGGTATCTAACAGAGAGTTGCCAAAATTTTTTATTGGTATGTGAATCTATTTAAAAAATAACTATCAACTCTTACCACAATTATTTCATCAATGTGAGAATTTTAATTTTTTAATGTTTATTTTTAAGAGAGAGAGAGCGAGCACCTGTGGGGGAGGGGCAGACGGAGCCGGGTACAGAGGATCCGAAGCGGGCTCTGTGCTGGCAGCAGAGAGCCCCAGGTGGGGCTTGAACTCAAGAACCATGAGATCACCACCTGAGCTAAAGTCAGACGCTCAATCAACTGAGCCACCTAGGCACCCCCACAGTGAATTTTTAATGCCAGCAAAGTAAAATCACCATCATCTCAGTGCTTTAAAAATGGAATATATTTAATTTCATGAAAACTCATTCCAGTAACCCTTAAACTTGTTTTGCTGAGGACCCACAACCATCGGTAGACAGGTGTTTGAGCTGAGGTTGGGGTCAGGGTTGGGTTGGGGAATTATGGGGAGCTCTGCTCTGGCCTGCGGCTCTCCAGTCAGGAGTGGGGCATGGAAGGGATCTGGGGTCACACAGGAGGAGGTCCGTAGGGTGCCCTTGGAGTGGGTTGGGAGAGAGGCTCCCTGCCTCCCTGGCCTGCTGAGGGCAGGTCCTGGAGCATGTCCTCTCCTTGGCTCACCAGAAACTCCTAGGAAAGGCCCAGCAGAAGCTGCCCATGGACATGCTGGTGTTGGAGGATGAGAAGCACCACAGGGCTCCGAGTATGGCCTTACAAAAGGCTAAGGTAAGTGTCAGGAGAACCCAACCTCTGTGCTTAGGGGACAGGACAGGCAGTTAGGGCTTTGCTGCTCCTAGTGTGGTATGAGAACCAGCATCTCAGCACCCCTGGGAGCGTGTTAGCAATGAAGAATCTTAGCCCCACCCCAGACCTGCTGAGTCAGAATCTGCATGTGTACAAGATCCCAGGGAATTTATTTTCGAAGCCCCAAGTTATTGAGTGGCCCTACCGCAGGCACCATGCAGGTGTTAAGGGGCTCAGGGAGACTGCGTGTGTGGATTGGAGAGATCTCCGTGCTCATAAGAGAAAAACGGTTTCCCAAGCAGTATTGTGGAGGATGATCCCATAGGATGCTTGTCTGAAGGACATCAACCAAGCCATACTAGAATTTACCTCTGGGAGAGAAGGGCTTTCTCTTCATACCTCTTATGTTTCTGTATTTCTTTTTAATATTAATCATGTATTACTTTTATCATAACACACACACACACACACACACACACACACACACACAC